CTGGATCCTGGTTATCCCAGTTAGGTCTCTGAAGAGGCCAGTTAATATCGGCAGCCAGACCCTGCTGATGCGTCTGGTCCCAGTGTCTCATTCCTGCCGTTCTAACCATGCCTCGTTCTTCCACTGTAAATAATATTCCCAAAATTGCTTGCATTTCCTCCCATGTGTAAATATTTGGCCTTAGAAATTGGTCAAATCTTTCGGATACTCCTATGAGGTCTTCTAACAATTTCCCCATCTCCTTTTTAAATTCTCTCACAGCCCCTGAATTTAAAGGAGCTGACACAAATCCTAACCCAGCATTTTGTCCTCCCTTTGTTTTTTCCCTGGTTTGGCTTCTCGTCACTCTCCTGCTACCAGTAGGTGAGGGAGGTGAAGAGTCCTCAGATAAAGGGGGTTCTGGTCCTGTTGGGGCAGAGGGTTGAAATGCTGGTGCTGGAACGGGTGCAGGTGGTGGAGGGGGCGGGATATATGGTGGAGGGTATCTTTGAAAATCCTCCAGATCCCAATTATTCTTTTTCTGCTTTTTCGTTTCCTTTAAAGGAAACAAGTAATGTGTAGTATCTGATTTAATCCATAAACTAGCATACTCGCTTTCTTCTGCACAAAACGGCTCTTTGTTATTCACATACAGATTTAAAGCCTGACATATCCAGCCCTCAAATGAACCGTATACTGGCCGATACAAATGATCCTGTCTTATTTGCTGCCCCCCCCCATACCTCCATACAATAATGCACCATCTTTTCTCTTAACTTCCCTTTTCTAGAGGGATAATCATTCCAATATCTGATCATAATTCCTAAAGGACTGTCTGGGGGTATGGTTGGTAACCTTATCACAGACTCATTCTCAAGTTTTTTTTTCCTCTCCTGTGGGGTATCCTGCAACTTCTCCTTGTGATCCCCACCTCCACCCTCCTCCTTGGGTTTTTCCTCACTCTTAGGGCTGTCCTGCACTAATTTACAGCCACCCATGGGAGCAGAAGATTTACTTTTCTTCTGCCCCATCTTCTGAAGTGCCTTCTCTCACACACACACACACACACTTCATTCGCTGCCCTCCGTTCATGACTTGCCCCCTTGTGGGGTACAAGAACTGCACTAGTGGGAGGTCCCACTCACTTTGTCCAACGGACGTCTCAGCCGTTTACACTCCGGGATCCCCTCCCAACCGAAAGGGGCCGCAGACACTTACCTCTCCCTGGGTAAGTTTTTGTCCAACTCCTCGCATGGACGGTCCCTCCCCAACCAGACGGCACCGATACTCTTACTCTCTCCTGGAGTAAGTCCCCGTTCGAACCCCTGCCGAACGGACCCCTTCCCGACTGAAGAGGGTTTATTACTCACTTCTCTCCCTAGTGAGTCTTCGCCCGGGTATGTGCACATAAATTACAGGGTACTGCAGTGGTTTATTTGCTTATTTGCTTTTTCTAAATCTTTTCGGTCGGCATTTCAGAGTCTGTGCTGCAGGACTCCCTCCAGGACCATCCAAAAAGGATGGGGCGCCTGCCCCAGAGGGGGTTCCTACTGCCCAGGAACTGTGATCCGAGTCATGGCATGAGAAATTGTTATAAGTAAAATGAAACTGAGTTGAAATATAGTAATAAAAATTTATTGAAGATTTATAGAAAATGCAAATAAGTAAAACAGCATGCTGGGCGGCCGAGGAAACCCCTGCTCCACTCACAGCACGCAAGCGCAGTGAACAAAAACAGTAACTTTTATTCCCTTATCGGTTTCCCTCCCATTGTCACTTGTTTTTCTATTGGATCTGAGCTTTGCAGGTCTGATTCTGGTTGGCCTCTCTACATTCTCGCTTCAGTTGCCAGGTGCTTTCTCTTCCCATAGTTCCAATCAGTCCCCTGACCTTGAGGCCTAGTGTGCAGGCATCTCCAGATGTCCATCTTGGATATTCTGTATCGTTTCAGTTCCTGACTCTTCAATCCTTGTCCTTCCTTTCGTTACTTTAGGTGTGTTGTGAGACAATAAGCTTTTTAGAAAAATAAAATATAAAAATATTTACTTAAAAAGGCACAATGCTTTGTCTTTCTAGCTTTAGAACTGCAAACTTCATGCTTTTTCAGCTTATAATGCTGATAGATTAATGAACCATTCTACAACTTACAGTTTCTTACCCGTAACAAAACAGTGATTATAATGACATATACATATAAGAATATAACATGCACTATAGTTTAATGAGTAAGCCACTATTACTAATTTGATGAGTAAATTAAACCACTACTACTCATTACAAGTGCAGGCCTTATAAAAGAACTGCTCTCATAAAGCCCATACACCTCATAATGGTGAGAACCTCGTAGAACCCAAACACCTCATAAAAGAGCTCTCATCATGAAAGTTCTGTCTTCACAACACCCTTAGATGTCATAACGGTGCTCTCCTCATAAGCCCATAGACCTCATAAAGGGGCCATCCTAAAGTGTCTCTCCTCATAAAGTCTCTCTCCTCATAAACCCTGTCCACCTCACAATGGAGCAGGCATCAGAAGGTCTCTGTGCTCACAGAACCCATCCACCCCATAATGGGGCAGCCTCAGAAAGGCACTGTCCTCATAACACACCTCAGAATGGTGCAGGCTTCATAAAGCCCCTGTTGTCATAAGGCCCATAAACCTCCTCATGGAGCTGTCATCATAAAAGAGATGTTGCCATAAATGCCATAAACCTCATAAAGGCTCTGCCCTCATAAACACCATAAATGTCATACAAGCACTGTCCTCATACACCCCATACACCTCATGACAGAGCTCTCATCATAAAAGATCTTTCTGCATAAAGCCCATGCAGGTCATAAAGGTGTTGTCCTCAGAAAGCACATTCTCCTCATAAGAGGCTCTCCTCATAAAGGCCATGTCCTCATAAACCCGATAAACGTTGCTGCCTAAAAGGCTGATGAGGAAAATAAGACTCCAGGCCCAACTAGGTAGGGGTCAGAGAAGCAGCAGAGGTTTTCATGAGCCTCCAGGCTCCAGGAATACAAACCCACCCACATCCCTTCCAACGCAGGGGTTACAGTTTTTATAATGATTTCCACCCAATGCCCGTCCCGTCCCCGCCCCGGTTCTGCCCCGCTCTGCCCCAGGAACGCCCGTGGGGAATTGAGTCTGGGGGAGTTTGGAGCTTTGAGCCGCTGCAACTACAACTCCCGGCGTGCCCCGCGCGGAAAAGGGGGCGGGGCGGGGTCTCTGCCGGCGGTGCGCGCGCACAGCCCCGCGGTGGCTGCCGGGAAAGCGATGGCGGCGACAGCGGAATGTGCTCAGCACTTTGTGAGCCTGGCGGAGGCTGCGGCGGGGCTGGGGATGCGCTCGGGGGCTGCGGGGAGCGCGGCTGTGGGCGGGAAGGCTGGAGGGCTCGGCAGAGTGGAGAGGGGGGCTCGGGGGTTCCCGAGGAGGTTTTGAGTTCCGTAAGGGGCTCTCCGGGGGTCGCGGAGGGGATTTGGTGTCCTGAGGGCGCTCAGAGGGGAGGGTGAAGGTGCCTGAAGGGGTTTAGGGGGTCCCTGAAAGGGCTGGGGGCCTCGGAACCCTCCTCGGGGGGGAGCTGTTTAAACGCCATGGCTGCACTGCGCAGGCGCCGGCGGAATTTCAACGAGGGAACTTCAACTCCCATAAAGCTCCGCGCGGCGCCGCCATTGCCGCTCGTGCCACAGCGCCCCCTGCCGGCTGGGCGGACCGACCGCAGGGAAAGCGGGTCCTGATGCCCCCCCCGAACCCCAGAGACCCCCAAAACTCAGCACACAGAGACCCCACAGGGAGGGGATCCTGAGGTCCCCTGAAGCCCATCAGCGTGGTTCAGAAGGTCCCCCAGGTCTCAGGGGAGGGGTCCTGGTGGTGCCACCCAAATTCTTTTCAGGGAAGTGAACCACATGGGGGTAAGGGGATCCCAGTGCCCCCAGTATAGCCCAGTGACCTCTCAGTGGCTCTCAGTATGGCCCAGTAATCCCCCAGTGACCACCAAGTGTTTCCCAATGACCTCCCACTGCCCCCCAGTACAGTCCAATGATCCTCCAGTGAGCACCCAGTAACCCCCAGTATGGCCCAGTAACCTCCCACTGTCCCCCCGTGTGTCCTGGTAATCATCCAGTAATCACCCTGTCCCTCCCAATGCCCCCTGGTTCTCCCCAGGGGTCCCAGTATCCCCCAGTAATCACCCAGTGCTCCCCAAAGACCCCAAGTTTCCCCCACGTGTCCCCAGATGCCCTTGGCCTTTCTGTGAGCATGGGGGGATGGGGCCATTTTGGGGGTCAGAGGGTCCAGGGGGGCCTTCTGCGGGGAAATGGAGGGTTGGGGACATCAGGGATGGAGTTTGGGGACAGAGAATTGGGGTTGGCAAGGGGATAATTGGGGCCATGGGGAGGCCCTGGGGACACTGGAGATACCAGGCGGTCTCAGGCTGCCAAGTGGGAAACTGAGGACAGCAGGAGGGTTTTGGGGACACCAGGGGGGTCTCAGGATTCACTTGGTTCTGCTGCTGCCCCTCCTGTCCCCCCCAGGCCCCAGTAATGCCCCCAAATGTCCCCTAACCCCCATTTTTCCTTTAATCACCTCCCCCCTCAGATCCCTTTTATCCCCCAATGCTCCCGAGACCTCTTTTAACTCCCCAAAATGCACCCAGAGGCCCCCAAAACGCCCCAAATCCCAATCAAACCCCCCAAAGAGGGATCACCCGGCACCCTGGGACAGGAACACAGTGGGCTGTACTGGGGGCGCTGGGCTGTACTGGGAGGGCACTGAGGGGGCACTGGGCTGTACTGGGAGAGCCCTCATCCCCAAAGCCCCTCCCCTGGGCATCCGTGCCACGGTCTGGGAACCACAGCGGGGTTGGATCAAGGGGTGCCCTTGATGATCTGGGAGGTCTTTTCCAAGCCGGCTGATTCTGGGATTCTCTGGGTGCCATTGCCAGGGCAGCACATGCTGGAGGCTCTGTCCACAGGGGATAGATGTGTCTGTGCAGACAGGGAGACAAGGTCGGTCTGCAAAGATGTGGGCTTAGAAAAGCAGGAGAAGTTGTGGGGTGGTTGTGGCAGGAGAAAGAAGCCCCCAGGGCAGTGCAAGCAGGCCCCCCTGGGCTTGCACATCATCTGCCCTCCCTGCAGGTTCCTGTGCTGGAGAGCAGGCCCTGAGGTGTCCCTGAGCAATGGCCCGGAGGTGAGCCCAGAGGTGGCCCTGAGGTGTCCCTGAGAAGAATTGGAAGGCAGAGGTGGTGCTGAGGCAGGAGAGCCCCGTGCTGGGGAAGAGGCTGAGCTGGGAGTGCCCAGCAGCGAGAAGGTGCTGTGTGCATGCCCTGTGTGCCAGGTGAGCTGGGGCTTTGCTGCAGAGCTGCGGGCGCTGATTGGAGCGGCTGCAGCTGCTGAGCTGGTGGCCCCCAGGAACACAAAGTGTGCCCGGCCACGGAGCCTGCAGGGAGGGGCAGGGACAGGGTCAGGGCCACTGTCAGCCCGGGGCTGGCTGGGCAGACACAGCAGGTTTGGGGTCCCCCTGGGAGCTGCCGAGGGTGGAGGGCGGAGCGGGCGATGCCGGAGCTGGGGGACCCCCGGCAGGCTGGAGGGGGGAGCACGGAGAGGGAGGAGCCCCGGGAGCCTGAAACGGGGGGAGCGGAGAAGGGGAAGCCTGGAGAGTGGGGACCCCTGGGATCCCTGGGACACCAAGGTGGAGAACCTGGAGAGGGGGAATGTGTGGGAAGGCGGCACCCCAAAGGTGAGAGTCAGAGGAGAAGGGACCCTTGGGACCACCAGCACTCCCAGCATCCCTAAGTGGTACCCCGAACATTCCAGAGAGAGGAGACCCTCCAAACCCCAGAGGGGAGAGACCAGACAGGGGGAACTCCTGGGAGAGTATTTTTGGCATGAATCTTCATATTTTGGCTGAACCTTAAATTTTTCCATTGTGATGGAGGGGTGTCAATCTCACTATTTTTGAGGCAGTTTATTTCCTGAATGTCAGCGGATTGGGTTTTTCTGTGCTGAATTTTGGTGTTTTGGAGGTTTTTATGGTCCCAGGATGCTGGGTGAGTTCTAGAGATGGACTTGGGCAGGAGGAATCCCCAAGGCAACGCGCTCAGGCCTTGTTTCCCCCCAGCAGGATTTGTCCTTCCCAAAGCTTGAACAGATGGAGGAGGAGGCTGCGAGGAAGACGAAAAAGCCACGGGCCCCCCAGGCAGGTGAGGAGGAAGTCAGTGCCCCTTTGGCCCTGTCTTGTGGTACCTGTGGCAGCCGAACATCGCCCCCGGCTGCAGGACAACCCCGCTGGCACCGCCGTCCTGCCGGGGCCGGGTCTGGGGGATGTCCTTGACCTTCCCTCTGGGCCGGAGGCAAATCCCCCGCCTGTCCTTCTTCCTTCCTGCCCCAGGCCCCGAGCTGAGGATGGAGAGCATGGAGGACAAATCCCCCCAGCAGAGCCTGCTGGGAGAGGCCGTTTTGAAGGGCTCCCCGGCGCAGGAAGGCAGCGGGGAGGAAAAGGCCCGGAGATGCCCCTGGAGGAGGGGCTGCAAAGCCAGCCCAGGGAGCTCTGAGGAGGAAAGACCTGTCCTGTGCCGGGAAGGCGGCCGGAGCTTGAGCCGGAGCTCTGAGCTGGTGGTCCCTGAGCAGCCTCCCAGCAGGGAGAAGCCCTTCGGGTGCTTGGAATGTGGGAAGAGCTTCAGGAACAGCTCCGACCTCCTCAGGCACCAGCACATCCACACTGGGGAACGGCCCTACACATGTAGGGAATGTGGGAAGAGCTTCAGGAGCAGCTCCAACCTGATCCGACACCAGCACATCCACACCGAGGACCCTACCGTGTGGGAATGTGGGAAGAGCTTCAAGCAGAGACCTGCCCTGATTCAACACCAGCGCATCCACACTGGGGAACGGCCCTACACGTGTGAGGAATGTGGGAAGAGCTTCACCCAGAGCTTCAGCCTCCACACTCACCAGCACATCCACACTGGGGAACGGCCCTACACCTGTGGGGAATGTGGGAAGAGCTTCAGGAGCAGCTCCCACCTCCGCACCCACCAGCGCATCCACACTGGCGAAGTGCCCTACTTGTGTAGGGAATGTGGGAAGAGCTTCAGGCACAGCTCCAACCTCCGCACCCACCAGCTCATCCACACTGGGGAACGGCCCTACAAGTGCTTGGAATGTGGGAAGAGGTTTAGGGGCAGCTCAGATCTCCTCGTGCATGAGCGGACACACACAGGGGAGAGGCCCTTCCGCTGCACCGACTGCGGGAAGGGCTTCAACCTGAACTCCACCCTCATCAGGCACCAGCGCATCCACACTGGGGAGAGGCCCTTCAAGTGTGGGGAGTGTGGGAAGAGCTACACCCACAGCTCCCACTTGACCAGACACCAACGGACCCACCAGTAAGGGAAGCCCCTACGAGTGCCCTGACTGCGGGAAGAGCTTCGGCCGCTGCTCCCACCCCGAATGACCCCCTGATGGGAAGGCAACCCCTGGAGTCCAGTGACTGTCAGTCCGTCCCTTTCTACCAAAAAGGGCCAGCCCCCTTTCCCAGGGGCAGGTTGTGCCAACAGAACCCTTTTTGGGGGGTGTGTGGAGATTCCTGCCTTGGCTGGGACCCCCCAAGGTCAGTGCTGGAGGTTGAGAGCAGAGATCTCCCCACGAGCGTTGGTCTGGGGGAGTTCCATCCATCTCTAATTCATAATTCTTGCTTTGGTGCCAGCTTGAGTAGAATTGCTTCAACAATTGCTTTAGTGTAGAGCACTGTCCTATCTTATGCTGTACTACTGGTAGTTTTAGTGTTTCTATTGTGCAGGAAATAATTCTGATGAAGATCTTTTGTCTGATCATTTGTAACCCTAAAGAATTCATTTCTATCAATAGATGTGATTTGCCATCCTTAAAACCTGGGGGACAAAAGTGGTTCAGTCCCACCTCTGTAATTCCTGTGAACTGAACCTGCTGGCATAACCCAAGGCTGAGATTGGATCCAGCAGCCCTCAACACCCCACAGTCAGTTGGGAGCTCAGGGGGCCACCCTGCTTTCCCAGCACTTTTGGGCCCAAAGACCTCCATGGGATCGTTGGACCTGCCAGACCACCCCCCTTTTCCACCCTTCTCCCTTTTCCTTACACTTTTCCATTGTCCCTTCAATCCCCAGCCCCTCCAAGATCAGTTTTGTGGTCCCAATCCCAACATTTTTCCACACCCCTTCTACATCATCCCCCCACTCCCCAGCCCCCTCATGCTCAGTTTGGGGGTCCCACCTTGCCCTTTCCCCACTCTTTTCACCCCTCCTACCCTTTCCCCATAAACCTCAGTCCCTCCTCCACTTTTGGGGGTTCCCACTCCCCTCCCACTCAGTTTGGGGTCCCACCATCCCTTTTATCCCCTCTGATCCGCCTTTTCTCAGCGACCTCCCCCTTCCCACCCCCCGCTCACCCGAGAGCTCCTCGCCCGCAGCCGGGGGGGCTCCCAGCACCACCAGTGCCCAGAGAAGCCCCCCCAGAAAAGGGGTTGGGTGGGGTCCTGGGTGGGCTCTGAGTGTGTCTGGGGGTCCTTGAGGGGCTGTGAGGAGGTTTTGGAAGGGGTCCCAGCACCTTTTAGGGTGAGCTGGGTGCCTATTGAGGGGTAGGTGCCCTCCCAAAACCCCCCCAGAGTGGGGTGACATGGGGGGAACACAGGGGGGTCCCCATTCCCGATCCATCCCAGGGCTGGTTCTGCCCCCCCAAACTCGGCTCCACCCCTTGGGATCCTCCCAGCACCCCCCTAGTGCCCCCCAATAACCGGGACTGGGGCAACTGGGATCATACTGGGAGCACCTGGGCCCCTACTGGGGTCATACTGGAATCATACTGGGAGTGTCTGGGAGGAACTGCAGCCATGCTGGAGATGAGTGGGATCAAACTGGCTTCATACTGGAAGTGTCTGGAAGTTACTGGGATCATACTGGCGGTGACTGGAGTCATACTGGGATCATACTGGGAGCAACTGGGACCATGCAGGGGCAAATGGCATCGTCCAGGCAGGGACTGACAGTGCCTGGGGCCATCCTGGACTGGGAGTCCCTGAGAGGGAAAGGAACCATCCTGGGGGTGGCTGGGAGCAACTGGGACCACCTTGGGGGCAACTGGGATCCTATTGGGAGTGACTGGGATCATAGGAGGAGTGACCAGCACCATACTGGGATCATAGTGGGAGTGACTGTAAGGGACCAGGATCAAACTGGGAGTGACTGGAACTACGCAGGGGGGAACTGGGAGCGAGTGGGGCCAGGATGGAAGCCAACTGGGAACATACTTGGAGCAACTGAGATCATGCTGGAAGCAACTGGGAGTAAGTGGGAGTGACAGAGTGCATGCTGGAGGTCAACTGGCATGAACTGGGAGTGACTGGGATCACACTGATGGGAACTGGGACCATCCTGGGGCAAGTGGAAGTCACTGGGTGTCAGTGGGTTTCTGTGGGTGGGTTTTGGTAGCAAGGGGGCTGCAGGAGTGGCTTCTGTTGGAAGCTGCCAGAAGCTTCCCCTGCCCCGTGGAGCCAATGCCAACTACTCCAGGATGGACTTGCTGCCGCTGGCCAAGGCTGAGCCCATCAGGAGCAACAGGAACAGCTCTGGGATAACAGATTTAGGGCCAGAAGTTATTACAGCCAGGGAAGAGTGGAGTGGGAACGTGGGAACAGCAATGCAGACCCCAAGGGTGGTGCAGAAGGAGGGGCAGGAGGTGCTCCAGGCACAAGAGCTGAGGCCCCGCAGCCCCTGCTGGAGCATCGGGGTGCAGAGACCCCCTGCAGCTGAGAGCCCCCTGCAGCCCCTAGAGGCTCCCACACTGGAGCAGGGGGATGCAGGAAGGAGGCTGTGACCCCGGGGCAGGCCCAGGATGGAGCAGGTCCTGGCAGGGACCTGCAGCCCGTGCAGAGGGAAGCCCAGGCTGGAGCAGGCTTTTCCCGGGCAGTACTCGTGGCCCCTATGGGGGACCCACGCCGGGTCAGCTCATCCCTGAAGGACTGACCCCATGGAGGAGGGACCCACGGGACAGCAGGGTGGGAAGAGTGGCTGCCTGAGGGATGGACTCACTGGAGAGGTCCATCCAGGACTGTCTCCCTTGGGAGGGACCCTACCGGAGCAGGGAAGTGTAATAAATTGGTAGTAGTAGTTTAAATTTACTCATCAAATTAGTAGTAGTAGTTTACTCATTAATTGTATTGCATGTTATATTCTTATATACCTATATATGTTATTATAATCAATGTTCTGTTAAGGTTGGGAGACTTTGAATTGCAGAATAGTTCATTAATCTGTCAGCATTGTAAGCTGATAGTCATGCAGCTTGCAGTTCTTAAGCTGGAAAGACAAATTATTGTGCTTTGCTGAATAAGCATTTTGTATCTTACTTTTCTAAAAAGCTTATTGTCTCATAGCACACGCATAAAGTAATGAAGGGAATGACAAGGATCAAAGGGTCAAGAACGAGAGTGATACAGAATATCCGAGATGGACATCAGGAGATACCTACACACTAAGCTACATGCTAGGTCTCAAGGACTAAAGACTAATTAAAACTATGGAAAAGAAAGCACCTGGCAACTGAAACAGACCTGCAGGGAAACCAACGAGAACCAGACCTGCAAACTCGGATCCAACAGAAGGATAACAAGTGACAATGGGAGGGGAACTGATAAGGGAATAAAAGTTACTGTTTTTGCCTACTGCGCTTGCATGCCGTGAGTGGAGCAGGGGCCTCCCCGGCTGCCCAGCACGCTGTCTTGCTTATTTGCATTTTCTATAAATCTTCAATAAATTTTATTACTATATTTCAACCTAATTTCATTTACTTATAACAGAAGGATCCAGCTCCTCTCCCTGAGCAGTGACAGGAACAACAACTGACTGTAACCTCCATTCCCGTCCCCCTGCACAGCTGGGGTGAGGAGAGGAGAAGAAAGGAGGGGTGGGGGGAAGTTGTTTTTCAGACTGTTAAATTTCTCACTCTTTGGCTTTTATCCTGTCAATAATAAATTTAAGAACTATCCCTACTTTGAGTCTGTTTTGCCCATTAGTAAGCGACTTTCTCCCCACCCTTATCTCTACTCAGGAATCCTCAGCTGGTTTTTTTGTCTCCTCTGTGGAGCTGCAGAGGGAGGGGGAGGTAGCAGCTTTTAGTGGGTGTTTGAAATCCAGCCAGGGTCAGCCCACTAAACCAACCCATGTGCTTGAGACCCTTTTGTGATGTCACAGCCCATCCTCTCCATTCCGGAATAGCCCTTGGCAACCAAAGAACCAACACCCCACAAGGTCAGAATGCAGCCCCACCCATGTGCCCCTTTAGGATGTCCTGGCCCATCCTCTCCATTCTGGAATAGCCCCTGGAAACCAAAGACCCAACGCCCCACACTCCCACAGTGCAGCCCCACCCATCTGCCATGGGACTCTTTGTGAAGTCACAGCCTTTCCCCCAGGAAAGAAAACCTGTAACCTTCGGGTTTCAGGTGCAGTTGGTGGGACACCCTGGGCACTCCATGGGCAGCAAGAGCTTTCTGTCCTGCCACCTTTTGTCTGGCAGGAATCTTTGTCCAGATTCCAATTTGGCAGTCGGACTGACAATTCCAGTGCGGGGCTCCTGCAAGCAAACAACAGCCCTGCCCTCCAGGAAAGAAACCCCTTCCCCTCGGTCTCTTTTCCTGTTCCTTCAAATACAACCTGCAGGGCAACTTTCTGCCATTTCTTCTCTTGGGAATTGTGAAGATAGACCCGCTCCCATGTTTAACACCTCAGGCAAAACCACCCTGTTAACACCTTTCCCAACCTTCCCCTGCCTTTCCCAAAGCCCAGATGTGGAAAGAACAAGTGCCCTTGTCCCTGGCTGTGCTGCTGTGCTGGGAGTCTCTTCCCTCCAGCTCTGCACACAGGCACTGCCCCTGCAGCTCCAGAGAAGGGCTGAAGAAGCATCTTCAACACAGAAATCAGGGTAAGTGTATCAGGGATTGTTGATATTTTTTGGTCTGTATTTGGCCCAGCCACCTGTGGAAGTTTTGTTCTTTGTCTGTCAAGTTCACTGATAAACGGGAGCTTTGTCCTTGGAGAGACAGTTTTTTGTATAAACTGTTTTAATTGGTGTTCTGTGATTGGCTGGTTGTCTGTAGAGGACATTTAAAGGAGAAACTGAAGAGGAAAGGATGAAGTAAAGCCCCCAGACCCAAATAGATCAGAGCCCTTGAGTGAAACAGCGCAAGTGCGAGGGGAATCCCCACGTTCTCCCACATGGCTGAAGGGGTACCATGAACATGATAATAACAGACAGGCAGAGTGAACTGCACAGGTCGAGGTGTCACAAGTAGACCTGGACTGGCAGCAAAAGGGATAATTGTTCCTACTCGATGGACCCATGATGCTTCAGGCCATCAGGGCCGAGATGCCACCTATAGATGGGCACGAGACCAAGGGGTGGATTTAACCATGGACACTAT